CCCCAGCCAGCATGGCTGGCTGGGGAATTCTGGGAGTTGAAGTCCACACATGTTAAGGTGGCTCAGGTTGAGGAACACTGCATTAAACAAAAAGAACTGGAAGAAAACCAACAAAAAACACTTCCCAAACCACTCAATCCTACCGTTGCCCCCAGAAGGGCTCCAATGCACTTTGAACACTAGGAAATTTTTGAGTGTGCAAGTGCCTATCCATAGGGAAGTAACTGCCTTCTCTTGCAAAAACCATGCACACCGATTGAAGCTCCTCGTTTCCCTCCGCCCTTTCAAGTCTCTGCCAAAATCTTTCAGAAGTTTTATCAATTCAAAAAGAAAAAAAACCCAGAAAGCTGATTTTTGCTTGCTTCTTCTCTATGAAATGCAGGAAAACAGGAAGGCTCCTTACACTTTCTAGCAAAGAACTCAATACAATCCTTAAAAATAATATATTATCTATATATTTATAGATGTACACACACACACCCACACACACACACACCCCCACGCACAAATATACATGCACGCACACTCACAGCTACAGATACTATACACACAAATAGATATATACACACATTATAGATATCCTGCCCACTTGATAACTTCTATTTTTTTTTTTTTTGCTTTTTATTTTTCTTGTTTCCTTTCCATTTTAATTAAGGGGAAGCTAAATATACAGGTGTGGACATTGTGCCTTTCAAGCAAATAGTTTTTTGTAGTTACTCGTGCACTTTTAAAAAATGCATGAGCAAAACACAGCATCTTGAGTAGAGTTTTCTTTCTTTTTCTTCCTTTTTTTTGGGGGGGGGGAGGACTTGTTTTAATTTCTTGAACGGGAAGGGGGAGGGACGCAGAAAAGGGACAGGTTGTGCAAGATCAACCTTGTGAAAAGGTGGACCCAGGGATGCGTTCGTTGCTATAACTGGTTGATTATGCCATGGATTTTTTAGTACAGATGTCTATATGGGGGCTTCTCTACATGGAAACGCTGAGGATCACCCTGAACACCAGACGATGTTCTTCCCACCTCTTCATAATGTACATTAGATACAGTACAAGTGTCAGGTGAAAAGAGAGCCTTAATAAAGCATATATCATTCATACCCCTGTATAAGACCTCTCAAAAGAGAAGTTCAATTTGCATAAGGCACCATTATTAAGGTCAACAGTGCATTAACAGGTAGAAAACCAGAAATTAGACCTCAAGGCATAAATAAAAGAGAAGGAGGAAGGGGTTGGAGGGGGTAGGGGGGGGAACAGCTGCATGAGTTTTTTTTTTTCATTTTTTTTTCGTTTTCTTTTTAAATATCCATTTCTAACCTACAGTGGTTTTATCCACCCAACAGGACAAAGTAAAAAATAATTAAAGGAAAAAAAAAAACACTATTTGGGTTTGGTATGTTACGTAACATTAAACCAATTGCATTGTAACAGCTTTTAACTGTAATTGAGAGAGAGAGAGAGAGAGAGAGAGAGAAAGAGAGAGAGAGAGAAATGGCAGTCCTGATTAAAGAATGGAAAAGCATCTAGTTCTCCAGAACCATGCAATCATCTTTGTATTATAATGAAAAAAGTTATAGGTTGTGTTATATTGTAAATACACAGCTTATACAATGGATTACAAATGAGCTCTGTAGCGAGTCAAACAAGCTACTTGAGACATTGCACATTTAATAGCTGGACCACACACCAAGAGCTCCTTTCACACAGGATTGGGGCCCATGCCGACATTTCTCTGTCCTGATTTTCCTTCCCTCCCTTCCGTCTCCCCCTTCAGAAAGCAAAAGAAAAAGGTGCAGACACCATTTCCCCCTCCCCCATCGAAATGATGAGCGTCTCTCCATCTTACATAACACTCCTCACATGCACCCCCCCCAAATAAAAATAATAAAAATAAAATAGAAATAAAATAAAATAAAATAAAATAAAAAAAATCCCCCGTTCAAACAACCTTTTCTCTCTTACGGTTATAAAACAACCACAAGGAACAAATGTTTTCTTTTTCTTTTTTTTCTTTTTTTTTAAATGTGCCTCAGCATACAGTCGTCCAGTAGATCCTCCATAACACACAGTCGTCCAATCATTAACACTCTCAGTGCGCTCACGGCAGAAGGTGTCGGAAGCCATTCGGAAGGTTGGGTCCCCAGGACTGGAGACCTGCACCATGTGGTCACTGCAGCCGTTTCTTACATGACTTGTCTAGCCCTCTGAAGACCTTCCAAGGAAGAGAGGGCCTGGAGGCAACTGAGTTAGGGTGCAAAATGGCATGCTTTGGCTGGAATACGCATCCCTTCTTCCAAGGCCAGCTTGACCTCGAAGCCTCTTAGCCCACAGGATTCAAGCTCTCCACTCATTCAGAGATGCCTCTTCATGTGAAGAGCCAAATGATCAGACCTGGAGAAGCACCTGTCCATCAAGAAAGAGAGGATACTTAAGGTCAAGCTTCAGCGGGGCATCAAGAAATGCAGCTGGATTTAGGACCGATTATTGAAACTCTGAGCTTGCGGGCAGCTCCAAAAGACTGTAATTCCAGTTGGACAACTTGCCTACAAGGTTCTTTAGTGATTTCTTAGCCTGGATGCCATTCTTGTAAAATGGGAATATTATTCACCTTCCTCGTTCACGGCCATTGCTAAGTGCAATGCTATCAACTGCAATTCAACTCTACACCAAGCTTAATTACAGACACCCGCAATGGGCAGAATAACTCCTATTACAATCAATCCAACACAGCGAGGTACTGTCTGCTAAATGTGCAAAGCAGTGAAGTGATCACTCCGCCACGTGGCTGGCATGGAAGATATTGCATTGCAGCTAAACGTTTGCATGTGAACTGACTCTTCAACACAGTGATTGTGATCTCATCAGTCACCAGGCAAGTAAACATCTACCTTTATTACTAGAAGAAGCTTAGATCAGCATGTTAACACTACAACAACTCATGGAAAGAGGAATGCACTGAAGGTCATCCCTACAGCCTTGTATCTGATAAGGGACTTTAACTTATTCAAATTCAACACATTAGTCACTACTGCATAATCTCTCTGACCCTGTATCTCCAGATCTTGCCAGGGCTGACGGGAGAAGTCGTTCAGTTAAATTTGTAGGACTACAGGTTCTCCACATCTCAGCCTATTGCACGGTATGAAAGACCACCAGTGGCAAAAGTGGAAGTCTTTAAAAAGTGCTCAAGGTCACAGAGTCCATCTAACTGAACATGTGGCAACAGTGATACGTGATTTAATGATTCCGAGGAGAATTTAACCTCTCCTCCAGAGATCCTGCAGAGGCCTCCTATCAATTTGTTCTACTGCTTTCCTGATCGGTTAAGAAAGTTGCCCTTTTATTTATCCAGAAACTATGCAGAAATTATTTCAAATACAAATGTTCCAACTTCATTGCAAAGTTGGAACGCTTCCAGGAAAGCTGGAACAGTGTTGAAACATTTCTGGTAAGGTCAAAACAGGACATTTCAAATTTGGGGCATTGGACCACCAAACATTTTGAATACCTCCTCTTTCAATATACAAGTGAAAAATTGTAGGAACAGGACAAAACTTCCCAAAACAGAGATCCAAATTTTCCTCCTGAATAAAAGAGGCCCTTTTTATGTTTAAAACAATACTAAGCTATTGCTCATCAATGAAGGCGCACGCAACTTGCTGTTTTCTAAGCACTGGGGAATCAAATGATACAAAACAAGATTTGATCCACATACCTGTCACAGTGATTACATTTAAAAGGTTTTGCACCCGTGTGCTTTCTGAAATGTCTCGTGAGCTCATCGCTCCTTGCAAAACGCCACTCACATCCCTCCCATGAACATCTGTAAGGCTTTTCTCCTGCAAAACAAAAAAATACATTTACAGTGATCATTATCTATCTAGACAGTTCTCCAAAGAGGAATATTGACTCATTGAGCATTCTTTTTTTTTTTTTTTTTTAAAGACCAACGATATAGAAACAAAGTTGCTCATGCTAATTCATAATAGCCTACTAAGTACTTCCAAGAATGCTGATGGAAAATTTGTTTTTGAGCTGACAATTTTGCTGTAACAGCAAAGCATCAAATCCTGACAAAAAGATTCCAGTCATCTAAACTTTCTGGAATGCCCTG